AGAGGCCGACGAGACGCTCATGCACAGGGTCTGGCTGTGCCCCTGCAACCGCGACCACGAGGACTACACGGATGCTGACGCCCCTTTGCCCTCTGCCCTGGCTGGAGCAGAGGCTGCTCCCGCCTACTGGCTCCGTGGCCTGCCTGCGTGCGCTGACACGCACCCGCTCTTTGCCTCATTGGGGGGGGCGGCGGGTGGAGCTGGGTTGGGCGGGATTGGGAGGACTGCGTCAGTAGCGACGGCACCCTCACAGTCTTCGGAGACGGCTCCGGAGGTCAGTACAATGATGACCCACGTCGCCGAAGAGTGGGGGCCGCCTGTGCTGCTATGAAGTGCCTCTTCGGGGAGTGGGTCCCCTGGGGAGGAATAGTGTCGGGCCTCGAGGGCCCCTTTCAAACTGTGCCCCGCGCAGAGCTGCTAGCTTTCGCGCTCGCCCTTGAACACTGGAAGGGCGACCTCTGTTTCATTGCAGACCACCTGCTGCTGCACGACGGATGGCGGACGAATCGACACTTGCGCCCCAGCGATGGCGCAAATCAGGACATGTGGGCACGCAATGCCAAAGCAATTCGTGCACGTGGCACTAGTCAGCTCACTGCGATCTGGGTCCCCTCACACAGCGAGGAGTCACCTGGCCTAGCCTCAGACCCTGTGCGATACTTTCACACTATCGGCAACGCGACGGCCGATGCATGGGCAGGTGTAGCGGCCCAACAGTCTTACGAGGCAGCGCTTGTAGGACAGGCCCCTCCCACTGACCTGCACGACGCCCAGTGCACCCTCATCCGCAGGAGGGCGCGCCGTGCCCTAGCTGACACGCTTGCAGCTGATCCGCGGGTCGCGGAGCGACCCTCGCAGGCGAAAGGCCCGCGCTTCACCAAGCTGCAGTTTGCCATGCAATCGAGCCAGCACGCCTTTGAGCTCAGAGCGGGCAAGTACCTGTGTTCCCGCTGCGGGCTCACCACAGACAAGTGTAAAGTACGCCAGGCCTGTGCTACGCCGTGCATCCACCAGCCGCCTCTGCCGTCAGCCAGTGACCAGATAGTGCCAGTACAGGGCGCTATCACCATTTCTGGGCGCGAGCTGCACGCCAGCCATAAGCTCCATTTCATGCAGAAGTACCGCCTGTACTTCTGCCGCGGGCGCGGCAAGACGGCAACCGAGGACCCACGCCACCTTGCCGCACCCTGTACGGGAACCACCAAGAAAGGGCGAGAGAATCTCGCCAAAATAGACAAAGGAGAATACACGCGCGCCCACGCTGGACGCGATGGCTTCACCAAGTTTCTGCGCGCAGCTACCCACGGCATGGCCGTGGAAGAAATTTCAGCTGCCTCTGCGCCTGCCGCTGCAAGCGCCGCTCATAGTCAGGGCTAGAATGCACTTGGCATCGCCCAAACAACGCACCTGGGTGCGCTCGGTCTGTTCCTCTGTTCCTCCTCCTCCTCCTCCCCCTCCTCCTCCTTCGCCCCCTCCTCCTCTTTTTCCTCCTCCGTTCTCCTCCTTTTCCTCCTCCTCCTCCTTCTCCTCCTCCTCCCTTCTCCTCCTCCTCCTCCTCCTCCTCCTCCTCCCCCCCCTCCTCCTCGCGGAGGCTCCGCGGCAAAGGCCAGGGCGGAGGGCCCACGGTGCGGGCCGGGGTCACTTCCCGCGCCGCAGCTGCTTGGCGCGGCGTGGGCCCTCTCGGGGGGCAACGTTGGGGGGGGCGGGCCCAGGGTTAAGTCGGGCGCGTCCCCCTCCAGAGGGGATCTTCCCCCCAAAAAATGTATGATAATACCCAAACATACCCCAAACAAGTATTTTAAACATAGTCCCCAGACTATTTTAGGATTATTATTTGATTATGTTTGGTGTACTTCTTATTTTTCGTCGAAAATCCTCATGTGGGGGGACAGGCCCGACCTAAGCCCAGGGGGGGGTCGCATCGAGCCCGAATCTGTAAGTCGGGCGCGTCCCTAGACAGGGGGAGTGTTCAAACATAGTCCAACAATACTCTGGGGACGATGTTGTTCTACCAATTGTGCATATGTTTGCATACTTTTGGGGGTAATTTGAAATTTGTCCTCCAGAACCCGCCTGCAGGGGGACATGCCCGACCTAGCCCTGCTCGCCCGTTCGATCGCCGACAGGGGCCGGCTGGCCCAGCCCCGCCCAGCAGCGTTGGGTCCTGCGGTCGTGGCCCTGCCGCCGATCTCTCGGCGACGCATCGCCGACGCCAGCTCGGTGCCCCCCCCCGGCGAGGCCTGGAAGCCAGGGCGGCCGGCCCGCGGCCCCGGGCCTCGGGCGCCGTGATGTCTTGTCACGGCGTGGGCCCCCGCTGGTCTTCCCACCTGCGTGCGCGCAGGTTCGAGTCGTGCGTGGCCCTCTACAGGGGGAAGATTCACAACTAGTGAAACAATCGGAGGACGGTGTGTTGATTTGTTTTGATTTGTTTGAGCACGGCCCCGCTTATGATTAAGAAACCTCCCCCCGAAAAGCTGGCCCAGCGTTTCTGAAGTTTCTC